ACCTCAGTTCACAGGCTCTTTCCTGCTACAGTACATAGACCCATTAGTACAGAGGCCCCTTCACACTACAACTACAGTAGAAAATTCACCCCTTGACTAAATTAGGGATGGACCTGCAACTCTAGATACAATAATGTAACCAAACAAAAGTAGGGTTACAACGCGACCCTATTCTTTTCTTTGAAGGAGCCCCTGAGTGATTCACTCAGGGCGGTTTTATGGTGCGTTTTTCGAGACTAGAACTTTCAAACTGGGTTTATTCTAAACACGACCTTTCTCCGCTATCATGGGACTTACTATGTATCACAATATTCTGTATTAAACTAATATAACCTGTTAAAAAATTTCGCTGACTTTGGCTCCTGTGTTGCCTGACATGCTGGCTCTGGTGACGTCATGACTGACAGTAGGCATCCCATGATGCATTCAATCTTGGAGCCGAAGTTAGCCGAACGCAATGCGCATTGGGAATGCGTACGTCACAGAATCAACAGAAATGGCGCTTGAAATATCGCCGCTCGTCGCTTCGAAATTTTTTAACAGGTTATATTAGTTTAATACAGAGTATTATGATACATAGTAAGTTCCAGGATAGCGAAGAAAGATTCGTGTTTAGAATAAACCAAGTTTGGAAGTTCTAGTCTTGAAAAACGCACCATAAAACCGCCCTGAGTGAATCACTCAGGGGCTCCTCCAAAGAAAAGCATAGGCTCGCGTTGTAACCCTACTCTTGTTGGGTTACATTATTGTATCTACTGCAACTCCAATAATATAGAAGGGTATCTACTTCGACAGAATACATTAGCCATTCATATACCAAATACAAACTCATACACGATAGAAGTATAGGAGAAAGGCTATTATAGTATTAAAATGTGGGCAAGTACTTACTTAGTCTGTGTTTTGACATAGGTGAGAGTGGTATAAGCTCATAGCGCACGGTTTGGTGCTGTATAGCCTATAAATAGATAAGGATATCGTGAGCTGTGACGCAGGGTTGACATTTAACAAATCATTTACATTAAAATCAATGAGTACACAGAGAACAGGCATGAAAGGGACGAGTTACAGAACACAATCACTGCTAATCAATAACAGGAAACAAGTAATACACATGCAAAGCCAGTCAAAAATATAGGCGTTTCCAGTTAGGCCTACACATAAATAAAGGTAACGGTCCGTAGCTCGGTCAAAGCCATTGATTATACTAAATGCTTTTCATGCTAAACTCCTACAATTAGGATTTTAGGTATTCGCGATGATTTCCCCGAGTGATTTCTAGACTAGTGCCTCTCGGTAAAATTTGTGTACCTCCTTTTCGCCACCTTGCTGACATTAGACAGACCTGGACGGGTGTATAAAATTACAATGTACGTAGTATGTGCGATGTAATGTCACGTTGGAGAAGTCGGTTTATTTTTTGACACGTTACCACTACCAGATACCGGTTCGCTTTCAACTTACCGCCCGCACGCTTTTCCGAAGTACATAGCAAATGAACTGGCAAATCTTAGACGCCAACAGTACACATGCCCGAAGGCCCATTTGAATTTCCTTTAGCATGTGGAAGCCACGCGCTATACAGCGCTTATTCCCAATTTCTAAAAACTCGTCTAAAATTGGGAAGGCAGTACAGCAGCACACGCCAATGTTTACAAGTTACCAACACGATAAATTGAAGCACACGCAAACGCCATTGCTATAGCAGGTGCTGACATCTACGTTATAAGGAAAACACAAGAACAGTATGCATAAATGTATTACGCAAATTAACTATTTTTCAGGCCTACAGGTGGCAGATGTAGACATTACAGTGCGAGAGCATCGAAATGGCGGACGTTAGTGAAGAATCAGCGAAAATTACAGTAAATGTAAAAACCCCAAAACAGAAACAGGAGTTTGAAATATGTCCAAATGCTACTGTAAAAGATGTAAGTACCAGAGTATTCAGAAAAGTGTCCGAGGTGAACTGTAAATGGGTACAGCCTACAGGTTGTAAGTAACTAAATGTATTATGTGGGTCATGACTCACGAACTCTTGCAGTCTTTGGTACAGTAGCCGAATTGCATAATACGTAATACTAATAGTAATACTATTAGCGATGGTTCAGGTATGGTAATCGCCTCTATTGATAAGCTGATCGAGTGTTCTTGTTTATATGTATTGCTAATAATACTGCCGGCCACCACGTGTCTCAGTGAGCATATGTAATCACCTACGGCTACAGTCCTACTAGTACTACTAGTAGTAGTACTAGCAGTAGTACTATTCTACTCACCTACTACATTCTAGAGTTCCATACCTGAGGCTGTTGGCATGTACTGAAAAATTGTAGGGGCTTAGCACGAATTGCCCAATCTACTACTATTTTACCTGTCTTCACATGTCACCATCGTGCCATCTATAGACGTAGGGCAGCAGAGACTGAGGTAGTTGTCTATTATAGACAATGTATCTGTGAATCTTGCACCTTTGCTTTCCACGAAGGAGTGGTTATTTATGCGATACAATCTCGTTTTTTAAACAGAGTGGCTATATGCCCGGCAGCCGGCATATATCTGACAGCTGCCGGGCACGGTCTTCGATTTCCTAAATGCCCGGCAGTTTTTAATTTTCAGCGTTATCTCAACTCAAGTAATCAAGGGTTGGGGTTAGGAACTGCCGGGCATTTTGATTTAGGAAATCGAAGACCGTGCCCGGCTGCCGGGCATATAGCCACAGCGTTTTTTTAAATGGTTTACACAAGGGAGATTGAATTTTGAGTGGCACATTTTGCGTTTTGTCAAATAGATTATAACTGTTTGGTGGCGAATATTTTTGTGCGTGCCTACCAGTCCTCCCAAATTTTATGTCACACACTATTGCAGCTGAACGTGGTTTTTTTATTTTTTTATTTATTTATTTATGCAATTATCCATCATATACAATACATAGCATACTTTTACAATAAAATTCTGAATTCATAAAATTGGATAACTACAAAGGATATATACACAAAAAGCATGACTAGCACACTTATTTACATTGTGGTCCTTGTTTTGCTATGCCTTGAATCTAACCATTACACTACTAATACAGGGCTCGACTTTAACGGTGGCCCGGGTGCCAATGGCCACCTGAAACGGCGTCGGGCCACCTGAAACTGTCGGGTTGGTGGCCCGCCTGGCCACCAATAAAAATAAGGCCGTGGCTATGCGACAGCCGGACGAGGAGCCGCTAGGCTACGCGTCCGGACATCCATCTCACACAGAGATCTTGCGACACGTACACGCATGATTGCGCAAGGGGACGCTCTGCTGATTGCCGTGTGTGTGTGTGTGTGACGTGTGTGTGTGCGTGGGCTTCTGCGCGCGCGCGTGTGTGTGTGTGTGTGTGTGTGTGTGTGTGTGTGTGTGTGTGTGTGTG